CGGAGGCCAGAAGAGGCGGTGGAGCCACTACCGCCACCGCCTTTCCAGTAGAGGAGTGAGAAAGCTTCCATGGTCGGGAGAGCCAGAATAGTGAAAAGCTTCTTTTACGTTAGTTTTTGAAGTGGTAAATGACAAAAAGAACGGAGGACGAGCTCCCTATTAATACTCGTGTCTCGTTATTTACTGTATGTTATATTTAATATCATATATCACGAAATAACTTGCAAAAATGTCGCCATGTACATTAGTTTCTTAACTGATGATGGTGGTGGCATTCGGCCTGGTTATTCATAAACCCAGCATATCCAAATCGAATAATATCTAATTTTAATTGAATCATAACCGACATAAAAAAATCTAATGGTTATAATACTTTACAGTATAATTATTTTATTATAAAAAATCTAAATGAATCTAATACAAAATTCGAATAGATGCAGATGTTATGTGAATCGAAAACCGAAGAAATGTTCATGTAAATGAGAGGAGCAGGTCAGTCACGTGACTGAGCATATACAACACGAATCCAACCGAAAAGTCAGACCATCATTTATGTATTCACGTACTCTTTTATTTCCTACTGTTTCTTCTTATGATGCCTATCCAATTATATATATATATATATTGAATCGAACCAGACCTAATCATGTTTCCATCGGAACTTAACTGGATTAACAAGTACTTACTTTCGTTTACATACATATGTATAGTATATATGGGTCCCAGTGGGTCCACATAATGGGTCATTAATTAATGGGAAAATTTCACCCGATTCAGGAAAGAAAATGGGCCCCCTCGTACGCTGCATTTTTAGGTGATTATATAGCATCGAAATATTAATCTGATAATAATATAAAACAAATACGCAATCGAATACTAGCATGTGAAAGAGCTATATATTCGTGTATATATATATATGTGTATATATATTAATTGTTTCATGGTTAGGAAGATATTGATAATTTTTGTGTCAATGGCATAAAATTTTCATTGGTTCTTAAAATGGTTTGTACAATTCATGCAAACGTATCGTATTCAATTTATGAATGATACCTTAACAATAAAAAAATGATACTCATAACAAATACTCCCTTCACAGCATTTATAGTTTTAGGTTATTTTCTATATTTTAGAAATATCTGTTATTCTATATTTTTAAGATATTTTTTTACAATAGTTTTCAATATTATTCTTATCAAATTTTAATATATCATTAATGATAATATTGTTTTTATCATTAAACAAGAATATATGTGACTTTTTTTTCTCTTTTCTTACAAAATGTAAAATAACCTAAAACAACAAATATTTTGAGATCGGATGGAATAATTTTGATGGCTAATGGTCTCATTAAACATCATGGATAAAGTTTGATTTCCACTCAATATAAAACAGTTTATTCTTATTATATTAGCTCCAAGACATCGTATCATCTGCAAGGGTATGACCGGATTCGTAAAAGTCCGTATGATTGGATTCGTAAAAGTTCATTCTCTACTGTATCGAACTGAAAAAAAAAAGATATTTTTTCAATCTAAACCATCCAAAATTTTCGAACATATTAATTAAAAAAAACAAAATTTTCAAAACTGAATCGAATCGAATCGAACCTAAATTTAAAAAAAACCTTAAAATCTTGATTTATAAAAAATATCTAATTTTTTTAATAAAAATCGAAACCAAATTTAAAGAAAGTGATCGATTAGTATATATGTTTGTAAAACTAAATATGATATAAACAAACTGTAAATATATGTAATCAATATTTTACATTAGTTCATATATTTGTTTATAATTATTAATAAAATAAACCTAAAAATACTCATAATAAAGTAAGTATCTAGACATCAATATTTCATGTGCAAATACTCTTTAAAAAAGTATTTTTTTTTAGTCCAAAAAAAATCTCTCCCTTGGAAGTTGGCTTGCCTTGTGTATTTCAAAAGGGCAAAACTCTTTCCAAAAGCAGGTCAAAGAAAGCTAGATAGGCTTCCTGAAATTCAGCTTTAGTGGGTTTCTCTCCTAAACTATATTTTTTAAGAGTGAAAACAAAAAAATCATATCAAAATAAATTTATGTGAGACTTAACAGCCCGGAAAGTGATGACATTTATCCTTCCTTTACATAAAGATGTTTTATTTAAAGAATATATTCCTGCTTTTATATTTTCCATCAAGAATATTTACTAACCTAAGAAAATATAACATTGTTGGACTGTTAGTTTTGCATGAAGTTGCTCACAAAGATTAAATTGTATATATAGTGAGAAATAATAAAAGATGGTAAAAAAAATTAGTCTACTATTATTTTCTATTTAAATTTCGAGTTTAATAATATAAAAAATTGACGTCTAAATATACAGTAACATTAAACTATATATCTTCTAATATATTTATTTAAATCAAACATGGATGTGGTGCTATATGCAAGTGTGTATACATTGTTTTTATTATTTTCATTTTTATACGAAACTATGTATACATGCATAACCAAGACATAATAATTCAATCCACATATTGCAATTATTTGTATAAAACTTTAGAAAAAGGTTAGGAATACAAACTCCAAACAAAATTATGAGACTAATCACAACTTTGTCGTCTTTTGCCCCCTCTCTTTTTACAGTTTTGTTAAAAAGATCCAATGCATGGTCCACCATTTTCTACTTTCGTACCCCCTTTTTTCTAAATCAAAATTGTAAGAATTATAAAGTTGAAAAAATATCAAATCTACTAATTCATATTATAAAGTCAGGATGGCCGAGTGGTCTAAGGCGCCAGACTCAAGTTCTGGTCCTCGTTAGAGGGCGTGGGTTCAAATCCCACTTCTGACACGTTCCAGATATCATTTCTTTTTCTATTTCTTTTATTTATTTTTATTTAAGTCCGTATTGTTTGAGGAAGGGCAAACTCCATTTTTTTTTAAAAAGGCCAATCTATTATATATCGACACAAAATATATAATTCTTTTTCTATTTCTTTTATTTTTTTAATTAAGTGCGTATTTTTTGAGGAAGGGCAAACTTCATTTTTTTTTAAAAGGGCCAATCTATTATATATTGAAATAAAACATAATCGTATGAAAAAAAAATATACTCGTAACATTATTCATTGTAAAATATACGAGTTTCGGATAAAAACCTCGTTCGTATACACAAAACGAGGAGTGAGTTGAAAACAATGGGGGCTCATGTACAGATTTGATTAGCAATCACAAACGTATATAATATGTGCAACGAATATTTTTTTTTAGAAAAATTAAAAGAAAATAAATGTTTTTGAGAAACTTAATCATGGTACTTAATTAATGTCATTATGCATCAACATCGTCATCGAGCAGTGGTCGAATGTCTTCCATCATTCTCAGAACATCTCTCATCATCGGCCTCTCTTCGGGCTTCACATCCACACAAGCCAACCCTATCTGCAGCATCTCCACCATCTCTTCCTCCACGCCGCCGCCATTGCTATGCCTCATAAGCTCCATATCAAACACTTCACCCGTCCATTCATTTAACACCACCGACCTTATCCAGCTCGCCAAATGCATGTTTTCCCCACGCGCTCCTTTACTCGCCGGAGATTTCCCGGTCAGAATTTCCAGCAACACCACCCCGAAGCTGTACACGTCTGAAATCTGCGTGGATTTTCTCGTGTCTATTGTCTCTGGCGCATGGTAACCGGAAGAACGGGTGACGGACTGAGGGAGAGATTTTACTACGGGGGTTAGGCCGATATCTCCGATGCATCCGTAGTTTTTGGAATTGGTGAACACGTTCGATGATTTGATGTTGCCATGGACGAGCTTCCCGTTGTTTGATTCGTGGATATGAGCGAGCCCTCTTGCTGCTCCGATGGCCATTCTCAACCTTCCATCCCAATCCAAAGGTTCCCTCTTCTCTCCTCGTCCTCCTGCAGTAATCCACCACCTTTGTATGTTTACTCAGTGAGAGTTTTATAACATGGACCTTGTCTGAATTATCATGGAATAAGGGTTTGTTGGTTCGGTTTAATCCGAATTAAATGTGATCGGGTTTGGTTTTCGATCTTCTATTTGATTTTTTTTTCTTCATTTTCTTATACATAAACGTAATAAATTCGACCAGTTTTTTTTTCAAAATTTATGGATTCCCAAATTTATTTTCATCATTTTTCTTATAATCTCATTCCAAATTTGCATGAAATGGGAAAATAATGATAACTCACCATGCAGAATCTCTGAGAGGCTTCCCTGATTGTGATAGCCATAAACGACGAGCTTATTGGCTTTGGAGTAATAATAAGCCTTGAGCTCTGTCACATTCTCATGCCTGATCGCTCCGACCATCTTCATCTGCTGCTCGAACTCTCCCACTCCGACAGCGACCGTCTCCTCCTTCAATCTCTTCACCACCACTGTCGTGATGTCGTCAAGAACTGCCTTGTAGCTTGTACTGAAACTGCCCTTTCCCATAACCTCGGCAGATGCCCTAAGCAAATCATCCAGACGAAATGCATGACAGTTACTCCCTCCGAAGAAGACGATCTTGCTGTTTTCAGCTTCTTCCTCTCCGGATGCCCATCTCTCCATTGATGATGAGCTTCCCTTCTGCGACTTTCCTGCTCCTCTGGTGTTGCTTCTACGCCTCGTTCTGAGGCAGCAGGTTATCTCCATTACAGGCGAATCGATCGACAGGAAGGCAAGATTCGATTCGGAGAAAAGGAATTTGCTTGCAAGATTCAAGACCTGGATCCTGGGTCAAACCTGAAAGTGAGCCCTTTTTCCCAAGAAATCGAAGCATTGCAAAAGCTCGGAGATTACCTACTAACAAATCGAGCGTTCTGATCCGAAATCCCCGCACCAGGCGAGGCTTTCTCCAGATGGGTCCTCCCCAGAAATTCACCCACACGAAATAGTCGCCGGGTTCAGCTAAAAAAAAAAAGATTTTTCTTTGAAATTGTGGAAGAAGACGACGGACAGGGAAATAGGTTCAGATCAATTTGACCCGAGGATGGTGGCAATATGTGTTTTACTTAGAGAGAGAGAGAGAGAGAGAGAGAGGGAGGGAGAGCTCTTCACTGGAGATTTCGATTCATTCATTCAATTCGGTCTGTGTTCAGACTCTGTTTGCCGGCTCGCTTGGCTTTTGCATTGATGGTTCTTCACTAATTAAGTCTCTCTCCAATTGGTCTTTTATTTATTATTTTGCTAATTTGTTTTTTTTATATGTATTTCACGATTTCGAAGATCTTTTTTTTATTTTTCTACAAAAAAGTCAACGCCGGCATCCCATGTCGCCGACTTTATATTTCAGACATGTTAAGATATCACATTTTTTAAATTCCAACTTGCAGAATATCCCAGTTCGGAATATTGATAGTTTGGCTCTGTTTTTTGTGTGTTGTGGGGATGACAGACACTTTTACGTATTTATTAACGACCTGTCATCAAGAATTAAATTGTTATTGGCTTCTGATTGATAATTTTAAAAAAAAATTGATAAAAATATTTAAATCTGTCTTATTATATCGTGCTAAAACTATTGAAAGGGTCAAACCGCCTGAAGAATGCATGTATTAATCCAAACAGCACAAAAAGTGAATATATAAACGGATATCGTATCTTATGAAGTGCCAAAAAAAAGATATGGGAGATTAAATTAGATATAACAGACCGTTGCGAGAAGGAAATGGACAATACAGACTTTAGCGACGGCATTTTAATCCGTAATCCGGGAATTTGGAGGTATTCGACTTAATCCGGGAATTTGGAGGTTTTCGACTTAACAAGTACCCGAATAAATGGTATTCGAATATTAACAATGATGATATCGAGTATTAATAAAACTAAGATTTTTACTCCCGAATCCGAATGGTGTTCATTTATTTTATAAATGGTGTCCGGAATATTTATTACAAATCTAAACCATTTTGTTTCGACAAATTATAAGTAAATATTTAAATAAAAAACAATAATGAAAACTGGAGGGGGGGGGGGGGGTTCACCGCGCAACACATTGTTGCACAGCGACGGCATTTTAATCCGTAATCCGGGAATTTGGAGGTATTCGACTTAATCCGGGAATTTGGAGGTTTTCGACTTAACAAGTACCCGAATAAATGGTATTCGAATATTAACAATGATGATATCGAGTATTAATAAAACTAAGATTTTTACTCCCGAATCCGAATGGTGTTCATTTATTTTATAAATGGTGTCCGGAATATTTATTACAAATCTAAACCATTTTGTTTCGACAAATTATAAGTAAATATTTAAATAAAAAACAATAATGAAAACGGGGGGGGGGGGGGGGTTCACCCGTCAAATCATTGCTGCACACCCATCCAATTTAAGATTTGTACTGAAAAAAGCAGTCGTGTAAATTTTTACAATTTCTGTGATAAATGACGGTCATATAAATTTCTATATTTATGTGTTGGATTAAATCTTGAAAAAAAAAACATAAATTCATATTTTGGGCAGGAAAATTTACATCAGAATTCAATACATATGTATTGTATCTAGATGAACACTAGAATTGGTTGAAGTTGTATTCAGATTTCGGAATTGTGTACGGTCCATTTGGATATATTTTGAACGGATTAATGGATTCTCCCAGAGATGAAACCGAGAAACTGTACCGACCAAACAAAGACTCTGGAGGGCAGGAGCCAAAGCCCATCATCGAGCTTACAACTGAAGAAGAAAACTCCCAAAATCGATCATGAGAAGAACAGCACCAGTAACAAGGCATGGGGATGAAACAGATCATCAACCAGTCACGAGCACAAACACGAACGGTGATCAGATCAGACCACGTCACATGTTATTTGTCTGAAAGCTCATACTGCAGCTACTCGTCTCGGAGACAAGCTAGAGCCCATTTCGTCAATGGACTTCGAGAACCGTAACATCTGATTCTCGATGTCCCTGAGGTTTGGTCGAGATATGTTGCACATAAGTTTGGCTTGTGTCGCCGTGAAAAGCCAGAAGAGAGACCAAAGATGAACAATGGATTGTATTCATCCGAATCTCGATCAAATCAACCGCAAACGCAATATCAGAAATCTCGATCAAACCAAGGTAACAGAGAACGGAAAACTGAGATTCGATTTCACCTTTATATATTAAGCTAACTGATCAGAACTCTAGAGAAAAAACATTCGATGAAGGCTAAAAACATCACGAAGATTCGACGAATCTGCGATTACATAGGAAGGAAGATCTGCAACGATCATAATCCACCGTAGCTAACGAACCGCGAAATCAGGGGATCAAACCGGGCTGAGGAGCTGGAAGAGATGAGGCTTGGGGTCGGAGTTCATGCCGATGATGATGATGAGAGGGATGAATCCGTAGTGGGTCGCGACCTTCGCCTTCTTCAATGTCCAGTTGGTCCATGCCTTCGCGACCTCCAACTTCGATTTCACATCAGAGGAAGAAGAAGATCCCTTGGATCCTTTCCCCTTCGATTTGAGCTTCAAAGAAACCCTAGACGCCATTGATTTCGATCTCGAGGCTCCCGGTTTCTCTGCGTCAGTCCCTTGCGTTCGTTCCTGGTTTGCGGAGATTTTATACTCGGGGCCAAAACCCTAAGCCGCATGGAAAACTCGGGCTGCGTCAGAGGGTCCTGTCCTCGGTCCCTTTTGTCATTTCTTTCATATTCTTTTATTATATTTATTCAACTACATAATTACGATATTATATTATAATATTCATGACGTTGGATATTAGATATTTTAAAAATATTTAAATTTAATTCCCGGAAATAAAATTATGTAACCAAACAATTTCACTGCATTTCGGCAAGCAAATAAATTATCATCCCTCTTCTTCAGGAAGGGAGCTTTCTCGTAGATCTGCAGGAGCGAATTTCGCTTCTGAGTTCCTAGGGTAGGGTATCTCCGAGGCAAACCCTAATACGTCCGTTAATTCTCTGAATCGTCGTTGCTATATCCCTTCGATCTTCGCCCTGTGTTTTGAAAATTTCCCGATTTGAAACCGTTTTAGCCGAATCGATCTAGGGTTTTTTTCCTGTTTTTGCAGTGGTTGTTCGGGAGAAATGGCGTCGAAACGGATCGTGAAGGAGCTGAAGGATCTCCAGAAAGATCCGCCAACCTCGTGCAGTGCAGGTTAGTTCAATATTCTTCTCTTTCATGTTCAATCCGTTCATCCGTTGTGTTTGGTTTATGCTGTTTTTCCCAACTGATCTCTTGTTCTCTGCGGTTTCCGATGTGTACTTCTGTCGCTTCGCAATTATATGCTCATACATGAGATCCGTTAGCTTGTGTATAATCTTGGTTTACATAAACTGCTGTCTGGAGATTGCAGAAGGAACATTTGCGTGTCCAACGATCATAAAGTTCATAAATTTTGTTGGGCTTTTGATAAAAAGTACACTTCTTGAGTGGCAGACGCTTGTTTTGCTCGTAGCAATATGTGAGATCAAGAAAAGGCCTTATGCTTGATTTGTTCCCCCAATTCCAAGTATTATAGTGTAAACAACATATTTCGTTAGATCACTTGTACAACTGTCTAGTTACGAGAACCAGTTGAACAATTTGTGTATATGTATGGAGTAATACCCCTCTCTTCTTCTCTCCGTTCTTCTTTCTCGCATCTGCAGATTTTCTTGGTTGCCAAACACCAATTCTGCAGACCCTGGAAACCAAGCGTCTAGTTAAGATGCTACTGTTTTCTGGTTTCTTGTCTTTCCACATTCGACTACTCATGGACAGGGGGAGGTTAAAGTTTGAAACTTTTGCCATTTACAATCGATGTTTCATGTGTTGTGACTCAGTTGTTCCTTGCTATCTCGAAGAGATTATTGTATGAGAAGTTCAGGCCACTGGTGCATTCTTTTGTTATAGGAACCTTAGAACATTTGCTGTGATCATGTGAAAGAGCATTTTATGTTTTCACGTTATGCATTGACAGCGATTCTCTCAGGCTAACTTATGTTGTTTCCTTATTGAGTCTTTTAGGCCCTGTTGCTGAAGACATGTTTCATTGGCAAGCTACAATTATGGGTCCAACTGACAGTCCATATGCCGGGGGAGTCTTTCTCGTCACAATCCACTTTCCTCCGGACTATCCTTTCAAACCGCCAAAAGTACTACATCCCTTATTCATCGATCTAGAATTTCGTTCCTTTTCATTCTTCTTCTCATCAAATTCATAGTACAGTTAAAGAACTATGGAATCCATGATCATCAAGAAGAGCAACTGTGAATGGTTTTGTTTTCAACAGGTTGCATTCAGGACGAAGGTGTTTCACCCGAATATTAACAGCAACGGAAGCATTTGCCTTGACATTTTGAAAGAGCAATGGAGCCCTGCCCTCACCATATCTAAGGTCAATCCAAATTTCACATATATCATTTCGTACGACCAGTCTTGCATCTGAGAAATCAGTTTGGACCATATATGTTGTATCTATGTAAACCTGACATGTCTGATCTGCATAACTTGCTAGGTCTTGCTGTCGATATGTTCCCTGTTAACGGACCCAAACCCCGATGACCCGTTGGTGCCGGAGATCGCCCACATGTACAAAACGGACAGAACCAAGTATGAGGCTACGGCTAGAAGCTGGACCCAGAAATATGCCATGGGCTAACATTTGCTTCCGTCCTCGTTCCTCCTTGATAGAGATAGAGGGCTTCTTTCACCAATCTTTTTTTTTTATAAAAGAAAAAGACAATCCACGAAACAGGTCAGATCTTATTCTGAGGTTTGATTTGTTTGTTTTTCTAGCAGTGTCTGGTGTTTTATGTGAATCGTATGTGGGCATGAACTTATCCCCTTCTGTCTGTGTCTGAAACTTCAGTTCGAAGGTGAAATGTTTAATTATTTAAACAAAAATGTTTTTTTTATGGTTTCAACTTTTCGTTTAATTACGCGAATATATCTTAAATCAGTAAAAAAATGGTATTTTGTCTAAAATGCAGTCTAAATACGAAATATGTACGGAAAAGAGAGGTGAAATGTAAATAAAATCCATAGGAAAATAATATCAAAAACCGATTTAACACTGAGTCAGATGGGGGTTATGCCGTCCAAGTTCATCAGTCGAAAGATAAAGCAGCTGGGTTTATACGGGAGCGTGCAATACCTATTCCACCAGTTGGATTGGGACAGTTTGTCCGTGGCAAAGGCACATTTATCACATTCACCATCAAGTTCTTTGCCACGTACAAATGTTGGTTACCCAGAAATGGGTCGATGAAGGGCGGCTACATGACTTTTTATCTTGCCAACCAGTGATACTGTTTCAACATGATAGATTTTGCCGAGATTTTAGGCCTGCCACGAGGGACGAGGTCTATTCATCCTGAGATCTCCTCAAAGGCCCTACAGGAGTTTTGGACCACCATCGGGTCGGGAGAATTTGAGACAGGGAAGACTAAATCTTTGACTGAACCTATGAAGCGTGCTTTTCGCTGGCTCGACGTCAAATTCTCCTAGCCCTAAGCTTTTTCCCATGCCTTCGATGACCGCCCTTCCTCTCGGGTGTAAGCAGAAGTGTTGAATTCCGCTCTTTAGGTTTAGTCTACGGCCCGAGGATTCGCCTTTCGTACTCCTCTTCAGTGCTCGGCTTATCGTGTAAAGAAGCAGTTCCTTCAAGGGCAAGACCTTTGGAAGCAACACTTGAAGGTTTTCCGTCAACACCATTGTCGCCGCCTCTTTGACGTATTTGGTTAGGATACAGCCTTGACGTCCTTCTTTGTCTTTCTTTCTGTTGGCAACATGAGTAAGCTTCGTCGTCAGATCCAACATGGGCACGGACCACTGTCTTCAGCTCCATGATGGCTTTGTTCTTCAGCTTTGTCTTGTTTGTTAACAGAACTGATGTCCCTCCTGCCCAGAAGAGAGTTTGAGAGCATCATCGATCTTTCTACGCCACAATACCAGATCGGACCCATCAGCTCTGTGCTGACAACGATTGCCAGCGAGTTTTTATACGTTCTGAACAGGTTCTGGACAAGATCTAATACAACACAGGCATTGCAGCCCAATCCGGAGATATCATAAGATTTGATGTCTTCTCTCATCTTGTATCGGTTTATTACCCGAGACGTCATGGAAGGAGCCGGCGAAAAGAGCGAGACGTTCATGACAAGTATGTCGATTTCAGACGGGGAAATGCTGGTCTCGGCAAAGAGCTTGTCCAAAGTATCGAACATGATCTCGTCCATCTCCGAGTACGCGTCGAGAAGGGTAGGGCTCTCTTCTCTGCCTTCGAGGACGTTTCTTGGGCAGATGGCTATGATTACGAATGATTATGATTCTGATTAAATATCCAATTTAGAAGTTCGGAAATGTGTAAACCAGGCTAATTTCGTGTATTGTTTAGTTTCTTTATCCACGTGCCGACCGTACAGCTTGCCACTTGGGTGCTCAACCAATTGCTGACTTGGACTACGTATCTATATATGCATATTTGTAAAAAAAAACATCTGACAAATTAAATCATAAACGTTGAAAATGCAGGCATTTTAACTCATGATTAACGGCTAATATTTATTACCTTTAATGTCTTATTTAGCCGTTCTCGTAGAAATTCGAAATAATTTACTGCATATTAATTGTCCGCTTAATATGTTAATTATACTGTTTGCAAAAAAAAATTGTCATGCATATAATATTATATATTAGCGTCTACGTAAAAAATTATCACAAATTGTCAATTAATGTGGACAGTTCCACTGTTCCACCATAACCAAAATTAAATTTTTAAGGAACGGTATAATGTAAATTATTCTGATCGCCGTTAAGTGTTTATATAAGCTAAAAAACTTATTTTATAATTTCTTGTAGCAAATCACAAGGAATAGAAAGAAAATGTTCAACCATGATAATAGTCATATCCCTAAAAGTTTTTAGGGAAATTTGTATATTAATATAATTTCTTTTAAATGTCTCAGATAACCAAAAAAAATTAAAATTCACAAAAAATACATGAATTTTTCTTAATCTCTACATTAAATTTTTCTTTTTTAAATAATTTCTAAAAACTATCCGTTTTGGTAATCGTTAAAAAATTTAAGATTTAAGATTTAATTTTATAGTAGTGTTTAAAATCTAAGGGTTTAATATAGAAGATATAAAGAATTTAGATATATTTTTAAAATTTTAAAATTAAGGAATTTGCCGGATTTTTATATAAATTTGCGTATTAATAATTTTAATATGGTATTTTTCTAAATTTAGAAAAGTTTTCTAATTATGACCTATATTTATTTATATATTTAATATTAATATCAGGTGCACAATAAAAAACCACTTGTTGTGAGGAACATGAGATCCTATTGAAAGGGAAATTAAATTTCTTTCTTGGCCTTTTCCTGTCTCTCTCTCTCCCCTTCTCACTCACTTTCCCTTATCCCCATCTCCATGAAGAATTGTCCCCTAATCACTCATTTTCTCTCGTTTTCTCAGTGATTTTCCCGGAATATTTTTGACCCATTCGAATCCCATGCCCCCTCTCAAAGTTCCCTCCTTTCTTCTTCTCGTTTGATAAAGTTCACACCTTTATCCATTTATTCCTTTACTTTATTTTTTTCTCGTCCAACTTTCCTTTTTTTTCTTTCCTGGAAAAAACATCTGTTACCTTTTTCTCGCCTGAGAATCGGTCGTGCCCTCAAAATCTGCAGCGAAAATCTTTCTTCTCTCAAAAATATACTCACTTAGTAGCACGCTTATATTTCTTTTTCTAAAATCTTTTGCCTTATCTAGGAGCGTGCTCTGCTTTTCCATGGCGGAAAGTCTCTTCCTTTGATAAAACTTTCTCGGAAATTTTATCTTTCTCAGCCTATCCATCGATTTAAATGCGGAACGAGATGAACTAAGGGTTAAAAAAAGAAAAATGGAGGACTCGACTCCCCAAATGAAGTTAACGGAGCACCGGAGAATCATGACACGTGTCTTCTCCGACAGATATACGACAATGCCGACGAGATTCGTACGGATCTCCGTCACCGATCCGTACGCCACCGATTCCGACGACGACGAAGAAAGACCCAGCAACGGTATGGACGCTCCAAAACGGCGACGTATCAAGAAGTACGTCCGCGAAATCACCTTCGAAACGGCGCCGTTCCATTCGCCTCCCGAATACGTCGCCGTTTCGAAGAAGCCGGCGGAGTCAGACACTCCGGCGATGGCGGCGAGGAAGGACAGAGGAGTTCGCCGACGGCCATGGGGGAAATGGGCGGCGGAGATCCGGGACCCGGTTCGTCGTGTCCGGCTATGGCTCGGTACTTTCAGCACGGCTGAGGAAGCCGCCAGGATTTACGACCGCGCCGCTATCCAGCTCCGTGGCTCCGCTGCACTCACCAACTTCTCCGCCGCCACAAATCCGCCGCAGCTGCCGCATTCCGCCGGAGCCCAGTCGCCGGTCTCGGTTCTCCGGTCTCCGACTTCGTCCTCCTACAACGAAGAACCGCCGACAAACCCGGCTCCGCTACCGGGACGAGAGGAGTCTTCTGCCCTCGCGACGGAGATATTTTCACCGCCATTTTTCTCGTCTTCTGCGGGCGATATTTTAGACATGGATATCTCGGTAAGCGAGAATTTAGGCGATGACGTTTTATCGTTCTCGGGTGATTGTTTCGGGTCGAGATTCGGGTTCGGCTTCTCGAATTGGCATGCGGAAGATCATTTCCAGGACATAGGCGATTTGTTCGGGTCGGATCATTTACCCCCTCTTTAAACCAACCTTATCCAATTTCTGTATTTAGTTTGTTGATATATTTCCGTTCCAATTATTATGGTATAATTATACGAGTATTATGCAAACTCCGGCGACGTACGACTTCGCTGTGTTTTTTTGCCTAGTTGCTCGTGTTGTTAGATCACGTGCAAAATCACGTGATAGGAAATGGAATTATGCCTCGGTCTTGTTTCTTTTGTTTGGTTTAATATAACGCAAAAAGCTATCAATAAAATAATAATATAATGTAAAAATTCCAACGTGGATAGGTATATTTTTGCATTGTGAATATACTTTAGATTGTTTATAACATTTTAAAATTCTGTCGCCATTATAAAAGCAAATAATGACGTTTGATATGTGAGATAATTATTTTTCCTCGAGTATTTAAACGAAGTGTATCATATATATATATATATATATATATATATATATATATATATATATATAT